TATATATATATATATTATTTTCATCTTTCATGACTAATTTGAACTCAGTAATTAATAATCGGTCAGTCATTTTATCTACTAATTTTTATTTTAGACTATATCATAATTTAATTACAGTGTTGACTGTTTTTTCACGAGTTTATTGATTAGTTGACAGCTGATGAAGTTAATGTTAATCGGTACTGTCATCTGATCCTCGTTCATCATTTGTTTCTTTAATGTTATTACTGTGCTATTTTTCTTAATAATGATGTTCACTTATTTATTTGGTGTTATATGATATAAAGTTGCGGCATTGTACACAGCATCTTACATAAACTCAAGATATAAATGATCTAATGAACTCATTTAGCATTCGCTGTAAGCATGAGTATTAAGTCAAAGACATATTGTAAGTGTCATTCAACTTGGAATTAAGAGGTTAATCACTTTGATCTGAGCTAACTTCTAAAGTGGAATCAAAATATTCAATTACTAGCAACCTAAAATATTGCTTTTGAAATCCTCAAAGCAACATATAAAACTATACATAATTTTAGCCTGCATATATCCCGCTTTCAAAGTCTTTGTCATCTTAAATGGATTATTTCACTAGATTTCGGTTGAGGGATTAAAAAAGTGTTTTGTTAACATGTTATAATCATGCAACACTTGGAAAGTAAATGCAGTTATACTGCTACTCAGTTTTGGAGAGCACATCAGACAAATAACATTTCAGTAATCAACTGCATTCTTGATTGGATGGAGGATTTCATCATGTTTCGTCCCAAACTAGGACAAAACAGCTGTCCCGTACTCCTAGGTTTTCCAGTGGTTCTCTAACTGATGTCAGTGCTGGCAGTTAGAATATATTCTAGTAAACAGCTTTCCTTTTGTATTAGTCACAGATGAGCTGTTGAAGCTCGATACGCTCTGTGGCATTATCCTGTTATATTAATAGTGATAATTGGCAGTCTTGTATTTCTTCTGTTTTCACTTCAAAGATTTCAGTGAATTTTACGTTGTGAACTACTTGTCATGTGACATAATCTTACATCTGCTGAATGTTGTCGGTAAGGTTTTTAGGCACTTCGTAGTGCTGAAGCTCACAGACTACTTGATAATCGAATCTATCGAGTGTCTGGTCGCAGTTATTGAAATTAAGGTCAAAAGTTTGCTGTTATTCTGTGCTCTGTTCGATAATGATACCTAGGACTGCAACTTCTGCATTTCTTAATGTATTGAATGCTGTGTTACGACATTATTGATTTAAAACAGAATTGTCATGATCACTTACATAATTCTCTTTCATAGGATATTTATGAAAATTTATTTTCAAGGTTATTTTTCCAAGCAGTTGTAGCATAATACTGTCATATGTCTTAATCAGCTTCAACCGGTCATCTGTGACTAATACTACAGGAAAGCTGTTTACTAGAATATATTCTAACTGCCAGCACTTTTGACCTCTTTTTCTAAACAACAGAAGAATTTACTATGAAGTTTCAGAAACCGTCATACCTTCTTTATTAATCATCATTCAGATGTTTAGTGGTAAAATAGTCATATAGAAGTCTATCATTTTTTATTTTAAACTAAACATACATTCAAATGATCGTTTTGGTAGTCAAATCTTTGGTTATTTACTTAGAAAGGATACATTTAATTGGGGCATGCTTTCCTCTCATTCTATAGGATATCAGATAACTTACTGAAATGAATCACATAACTGCTAAAAATACTAGGCTAAACAAGCTATACAGTATTATCCAGCGGAACTTATAATAGTGCCTGTTAAGTAACATATGAAGATAGAAGAAAAAGAGTCGCAGACTATCTGTAATGTGGTATCAGTTAAACAGGTTGTTTTCTGTTAAGTTGGAATCATCACCAATTGATTGTTTTGAAATGAATATGTGACCGTAAGAGACAGTGGTTAGGACTCTCAACGACCATGCACATGGTCCGAGGTTCGATCCCCTACCGATGCACACCTGATATCTATGGTTGGCCTGCAAAATTTGGGCTACCGATATCACATGCTGAAAATTCCATACTTTTACCAAAAATACAAAGTGGAATCAAGCTGTTATCAAAAATAAAAATAAAATAAGTAAAATAAAATAGTAACGGACCTTTCTTATCGCAGAAAAATACACCATATTAATGCATTCTTAACCATATTAAAAGTCGGCTAGGTCAGTTGACAATAAACTCTTTTGATTAGTTTGCGATGGACCCAAAGTTAAGCAAAGGGAAGAATAGTTGACCAATGAGGTTATTTCAAGAACACAACGTAAACCAAATCCAAATATGAGGAATAAAAACTTCTACTCCTGCAGCCATTGACCTAAAAAGTTGGTTTTAATTTTTTGCCGTTTCCTACCAATCTGCATCTGTATACCACACGACACATATAAATCATGCATTTGACGATGAACAAAGGTTCGACGAATACGTTTTGTATTGAAACATTTAGCTTAAGTTTACATATGAAAGGTATTCAGTAGCCAGGGGTTTTCATGAAATGTACAGAAACGTGTCGTCCTCGTTTATTTTTCGTCCGACAGTTAGCTACACTATTCGAACCGGACAGATGTATCCATATCAATACAGTTCTAGTGATCTGTTTTAAGTCGCTCCAGTGGCATATCTTATCCTTCTAATCCCGTTATCCAACCAACATCGTATCACAATAGAAACCACATTATCGAACTCATTTGTACTGCAACAGTCAGTTACATCGAATTACAGTAACTTGAATAGTAAATTAACAAGTTTCGACTTGGAAGAATAATGAACAAGTTCGTCCGTTTCGAAACCATTCGTAGGATTGATAGGATGGTCGTTGACGGCATAGAGGTTGAAAATACATCTAATGTCATGTACCTTGGACTGAGCTTTTCCACCGATCTTTCCTGGTCCTCCCACATCTTGCTAGTCACTAGAAAGATGTTTCGCCTAACGTTTTACTTTAGGAAATTTAGGCAGTCTGGCATAAAGCAGTCTTTGCTTTCTCAGTTTTTCAATTCTTGTATTCTACCCATCCCCCTTTACTGCTCCCCATTAATCTTTCCTGGACTACTTAAGAAAGACTTTGCTTTACTGAAAAGGGCAATAAAGTCTTTAGTAGGGCAAGTAGGATATCGTTAAACCAACTGGTTAACACTGTTGTGGATAGACATATAATGTCATGTAAGAAACTAGCGAATACAATATTGTCAGACCCCGAGCACCCTCTCTATACGCAGCTGTCTCCTTGGATTTTATCTGGTAGAACTAGAAGCAGCTATAGGAGGCTATATGCTAGGACTACCAAGTACAAAATTCCACAATACCATATCTGGTACAACTGTTATGTGATGAGAAATCCGTTAGGTATGACACTATCAACTTACTGCGTCAATCTAACAAATAGTCCCATTGATTTTTGTTTTCCTTTCTTCGTTACTATTACACTGTTGTTCTCATCTTCTATTACACATTAATTTTATATTTCATATCCTGTGGTGCATTGTTTAAAATGTAAACGCAACGCTCTCTCTTTTTATTTATCTACTTTTTTTAGCTGTTGCTTTTTGATTTTAAAATCTTATGAAATTTATGAGGTAATTAGATGCAATATTGTAATGCACGCTAAAAATTCCATACCTGTATTACAAATACTGTTTGGAATAAAGCTGTTATTATTATTAAACTGGTCAACACACTACTAAGAATTATATAACTGACAGTATATATGATTCAGTAGATAACTCGGACTGCATCCTGCTGCAAAGTGTGAAGAGACAAAGGACAGAAATAACCTAGACAACGCAGAAGACTGAAGAATGTATGAACTGCATGACTGATTTGCATTTGTGGTCACACAAAATCAAAGATATACAAGTAAAAATCAACAAGTCAGAAAAAGAGACAACAGACGAAGACACGACTTCAAGTGAACATGGAGGAGGTAGAGGTGATGACGATGTCTAGCCAACAATAACAACAACAAACACCAATCACTCCCAACGAGAGAAATCTGAAGGGAGTCAATTCTTCCACTTGTCTAATCAGCATTGCTTCAACTACAGTGAACGGGGATGAGGATTTTGTAACCAGTCAGAATAAGGGAAGTAAGACAGAGCTGGTCAATTCTTGGGAATCAGAGTAGAGATCAAACAGAACCCATCACAACGAACAAGATCTCAGTTTTCAGGTCACATCTGAATTCAGTGCTTTTATATGGATTGCAAACTTAGAGCACAGTTGATGTAAAGCATTTTCAGCAGTCTGTGGACTTATGCCAACAGCTTCCCCCATTCCATAGTGGATATCAGACGGTGAGAAATGGTTACCAACGCGTAATTCTTTAAGTGGAGCAAACCAAGCAACAACAAATTGTCCGGAAAATATGTGGAAGAAAATGGAGATGGATTGCATACACGCTAAGGCGACGGCTGAATGATATGACTCGTCACATTGTAGAGTTTAACAAAGTGTTGTGTGTGGGTCTGTGTGTGAGATGGAGGAGATCATGTGAGGCGGAGATGGTGGCTTATTGTCAATGGTGGAGCTACTTAGGCACGATCGGAGACAACTGGATCAAACAGAGATCTGATTTTAATTTTCTATTGTGATTTTGAAGCCTTAGGAAATAATAAGCGTAAAACTGTCATTATAGTCTCTGAATCTTGTAGTTCTACATTAATGCTTACAAAAGCCTAACTTAAGACTCGAATGTGCACTGCATACAGCATTATGGCATGAATTCTAGTTGATATTCTGAAGGGAATAAACTGAATGATACCATCAAGGCCATTAAAATCACACTTTTCTTTATGAGAAATTCAACCAATCGTAGCAAACAATATGTTGACCAATGAAATTCCAAATTAGAATATTATGTACGATACGCTATTGGTGGAGAGAATTTGACCTACAGAATTTGTAAATAAAGCCAGATGTTTACACACAGTACAGATGTCGATGACCACTGAAGCTCAAGTCAGCCTTAGTGGGATTGTCACCCACTAACAATGACTATTCACTGGAAGGATATTGCATTTCACGAAGAGTTACTTCCTACCCCGTCGTCAATGAGTGAAATAGGAAGAAGCACTAGTCAAAAAAGAACTTTCGGACAATCATCAGCTAAAGAAAATCCTGATGCAATTTCGGGAAGCAAACGTCCCAAATATGGATCAGCACAGAATGATACGTCTATCAGTCCTGTTCCTTCTAATCCAGTCGAAATTCTGTCTCCGATAGAAGTTAATTATTCTTATGAAAGTAATCCTGCTGTCAATGATTCAGTCGCATCGCGAATAAATTTCATTGACTGTGATGAGTTAGCATCGTTGCTTACTTCAAGTTATTCTTGCACTTTATGTGTACCCTTAATACTGGATATCAGAAGCCTAGCTGCTCAAGCTAATTTGCGAATTCAAACTGCAGTCGGTATACCTTGTGAATCACGTGTAAAGTTGCGACGTGCCTTACCAATGTTGACTGATTTTTTACGTGCAAGAAAACAGTGTTTCAATACTCACAGTCAAAAGAATTATAAGCTCGATTGCCGTCTAATAATTATCTGTGCTGACTCTAGTGTTAACGAATTCCCTGTACTAAAAGATCTTCTTCATTGTCTGGTTAAGCACCTTACGAATGATCATGATTTAGATGTTCGAGTACTCAAAGGTAATCGAATTTGTTTTGCAAATTTCTGTATATTTTTCACCATACTTTTGGTAAAAACTAACGTCTCGGAATTTAATCATTCACTTATTCTCATTGAGTCATGATTCACCTTTCATTTCGCCTTACTCACCAACCCACCCCATATTGAATGAGTGCACTCATGTCAAGCCTTTGCATCAATAATCTAAGATTTAATGTTACAATCATTATTAGCACTAGAGATAAGGAATTGTTGGATCTGAGGAAACGTTCCAGATCTGAGTATTCATGTATTCAAGAACTGATATCAGGTAGGAGGATCACTGAGAACTAACAGTGATTGAAGTTTTTTGAGTGCCTAATGATGAATGATAGAGGTTCAGTAACCTGAGTGTGAAGACGAAATCATAGCGTGACATAAGTGATGAAACAAGTATTTACAGATTTAAGATACTGTAAGCAATTAGATTCCAACCGAATGACTTATTTTTTGATTACATCTTGATTCCACACTGTATTTTTGGTACAGGTATGGAATTTTCAGCCTGTGATATCGGTAGCCCAAATTTTGCAGGCCGACCATAGATATCAGGTGTGCGTCCACAGAGGATCGAACTCCGGACCATGTGCGTGATCGGCGAGAGTCCTAACCACTGTGCCACCGACGTACATATATGTATTAGTGTGATGATTATAGATTAGACTCCTTACGGTATCATCGATATTCTCTGCCAAACAATTTAACATCAGAGTGGAACTGTATATATATATATATATTAAAATAGGATAAGCTAAACAACTCCATCTAAAAGCATGTAAAATCCAACGGATTCCTTCAGTTCATTTGGTCTTCTGTTTATTCTTATACCCTTCACCATCTCAACCTGCTTCCAGAAATTTCCTTTATAGCTATCACAAGTTATTCATATTGATTTCATATAAAAATTCTAACTTTTTAACTAAATCTACAAACGTTCTTTGAAAAAAACAATGGGGTTTTATGTGTTTATTTGTGTTTATTTTTCTTTATTCAGGTAAATTTTTCAAATACTTACTAAGTTTAGTATCATAGAAATGTGTTAATTTGTAAGCGAGAAATTATGAATGTTAGTAATCACGTGGCCAGTGTGTTGTTTATTCAATGTTATCTGTATGAAAAAAAAACACAAAACTTAAGCATTTACAAGGTATAGGCTGTTGGAGTAAATATTCAACCTTGTCCAACCTGTCCAGCTATAAGAAGTCGATCAGTGTTATCCATCATTTACCATTGATATACGCGCTATGCTGTGGAGGAGAGGTGTGGTGACTACATCATTCACAGTTAGAGTCATTTTGAAAAGAAGGGCATATGATTTGCTTAGTCATGTTTTTATCTTTCAAAGTAAATTTTGAAAAAAACACGATGTAATTTATCCAAATCGTGTGATATATTCGCAGGATACATTTCAAACTATCTGATCCCACTTACTTATCATACGAATTTATATGAAAGATAATCTATGCGTTAAGGTGTGAGTAAGTGAGTGAATATAGATTAAAAATTAAGGGAGTTAAATGTTTGAAAAATATTAAATTCTCTAACACTTCAGAATTTTAATCAAAGACCTTGAAACTTTTCAAAGATCATGTGACTGACAGTTATTGTTTAAAATCTTATGGCAGATTACTTTACTAAATTTATAGTATAGCGTATTCATTTCCACTCTAGAATGGACTAGCTGCGTAAAATAAAATGAAACAGTTGTCAAACATTTTATCTCCCCGGTTATGTTATGCGTTTGACATCCACCAATTCCCAATAGATTAAACGGTTTTATGCATCTTCAGTGTCCCAAAAATCACAATTAAGGCTTAATAGTATCTTTAGGTCTTTGCATTTTGAGAAATAACACTCAACAACCAACTGATGAGTTTTTATTGGAAGCGAAACTGCAAAATAAGGAACTGAATTTAAGCTGAACTTCAGGTTTGCTTGATTGGTTAAGCAAGTGTTTCTGACTTACTGAATAGTGGAAAGAATTATTGCTCATATAACTTTAATTTTTGGTTTATGCGAAATACTTGGACAGTAACATTCATCAACTGCTTCATTAAGATCCAGACAATACTTTCAAGGTCTTAAAACAGACGCTGAATTTCAGTCTCCCTTCAAAACTTCAAGCTTGTGTTCGTTATTAATTCAATATACTTGTACTCAGTACAATTTCTGACGAAAAAACCAAGAGGTGGCTCTCGTGGCCCAAGTGGTCTAGTGGACAACGCTTTGGCGTTTGAAACTATGGGTACGGGGTTCGAGCCTCGGTGGGAACATCATCAGTCACTGAGAAATGCAGGTACATCCAGATGACGAGTCCCAAGTAGGACGAAATGCGCATCGTGGATTCCACTGCTAGTCACAAAAAAAAAACGTGTCTCAAATATCCACCAATGATGAGTATGTACAGTCAGTTATAAATAGATATTCCATTTTAAAATATACAAGTCATGTGAATTCATTCTAATTATAAATTATTAGGAGGTTATTAGTACCTCCATTGATGCATATCAATAAATGAATTATTTAGTGTTATATTCAAGAAAAACGTTTATCCGTTCACTCTACCAAACTAGTAATTAACTATTTTGAATTTTACTAATAACTTTTCCACTAGTGCTCTATTACAGGTTGATGATGTTTTACGCTGAATTGACTTCATTATCAGCCTTAAAAGAAACTACGATGATGCTAAGAATTAAATACACAAGCAAAAATAACCAGGTGAAATTAAATAAGTCTTCTTAGCTGACCAAATAATAAATGTCTCATTTTAATGTTGTGACTGTTCAGCTCAATATATTTTCATAAATTATAAGACTAATACAGTACATCTATTTTTGTTTAAAGTTCTGAAATAAAATTTCCGGCAATTTACTACTAAATAACCATAACTTTTTGATCTCTTATTTAAATAATGCGACAAATCTTAATCACGAAGGTTCTTTCTACAAAAAACTTCTGAAAACTAAAGGACATTTGAAACACTTAACAATATATGAAACCACACACTTTAAGTATTTGTTTCGTAGGGATTTTGTTTGATTGGTCGGAGGATTTCATCCTGAGCTGAGCTAGGAGTACTGGACACAACTGTTTCGTCCTGGTTTGGGACTCTTTATCAGTATGCACCGGCCAGGGTTCGAACCCAGGACCTTCTGGATCATTGAGAATGCTATTTCCTCTTATTCCTAATTTCAACGTTTAGTCGCTATCATTTTAGTCAGTTTTTTTCAATAATTATCCTTTTTGAAATATTCAGATTTCACAACTGTAAACTTTGTGTTAATTCGCAAATCGAAAGTTGTATAATTTCGTTTGCTTTTTGTTTGTTTTTTTACTGTGTTTTCATTAAGTTTTCAATAAGTTCTTATTCTTTCTTTTCATCTTGCTTTACATAGGTGGCTTTCAAGAATTCTGCAACGCTTATGAACATCTGTGTGAACATCCACTGCAGATATCCCCAAAAGCTACTGATGATCTAAATAATTTATCAAGATCCAAAAATACTGAAGGAGGAGAAGAAGAAGAAAAATTTAAATTTTCACTGAATGTTTCAATTGAAACTTCCAAGTGTACAAAACAAGTGGTGAAATATTCACAATTATTGTTACCTGGTTTGGGTATTCCTGTAAACATTAAATCACCAATAACAGAGAAATCAGTACAACCGGTTATAGATAAACAGATCAGTCGGTTCGAATTTATGAACATCAATAAGCAAATAACAAATCCTTTTACAAATAAATGGGGTTTATCTCAATTTTGTTTGAATGATAATGATCCAGGTGATCCTAAAGCTATTTTTCGTGCTCAAGCAAGTAGAATATTACCCTTTCTTTATCTTGGTAAGAAGAAATAATTGATTTTATAGTGAATTTATACTCCCAACTGGCAGTTCATTTACAGTGGACATATCTTACAGCTTAACACTTTCGAAAGTATCGGTTTTTATTTACTGTTTCCTGCAGTAGGATATTTATGAAGTGAAACTCAACGCACCTGCATTAGAAAATCGTTAGCTTTTGATAATCAAAGCTAGACCATTGAGAAACATGGAGTACTTGACGGCTATCTAGTCCTAATTTGAGACTTCTGAGCATTAGGTACACACAATCCGCTGAGGAGTTGAATCCAAGAACACCATACTAAGAAGAGAGTACATGATGCTATATATTACTGATTGATTGATGTGTGAAATTATATACTAACTACATTAACCAATAGTTTATGCTAGCTAAACTCCTGTTGGCTTGAACTGCTTCGGTTCTCTGAGGAACTCAGAGCACAGAGCAGTAAAAAGCCATTCATTCGATGATTGAAAAAACAGAGAAATTTTTTACTGTTTTGCTACTACTTTCTTGTAAACTGGCTTCAAACAGCTCATTGTTCAGTAATACTTACTATCCTACTGTGCTTGATATCGTTCACATAATATACATTTTACTGGAAATATTTTATGCATTTTAAGCACACTGTCGTCCAAAAAACCATCAAATCCTATAGTGAACGATAGAAAAAAGGTTTTGTGAGTACTATTTCACAGAGCATTTCATTAGCTTTAATTCTTATTTGATTACATACTAGTTTTATTGTTTTAGTATGTTACAACTGCTTCCAGCAGTATGACCCCACTAGAAATCAAACCTAGAACCTTCAGCTCACAAGCCGAGTTCGTAGGGCCTTTAGTCAATGTAACGTTATCCTATGGCTTATCAATTCTAACTTCTGCCAATTCACAACACATATCGTGACTGAAGTCACTTCGTGATAAAACATGAAATCATTTTAATCCTTGCAATCCAGTACTTGAAAGCTTACAGGATTTCATCATGTGCTGACATTGTTTAGAGAACTTTTGGAAAACCTGGAAGTGCTGAACAGCTGTTTCGTTCTAGTTTGGGACTCTTCAACAGTACACACTCACCGTAGTTCGAACCCACGACCTCGTGGTTAAAAGACGAGCTTGTAGACTACTGAGACTCGATCCAATGGCCCATGAGTTCTGACTTCTGCCAGTTCACGCCATAGCGCGACCACTAGCCAATGTCTTTGGCAAGTATTTGTCCTTACACCCGACCTAATGTACCCTACTGGTCACGACTTGAAAGCTTATCTATTCACTAGTCTTTCCTACAAAAGTTATCACTCTTAAAGTTGTTGAAACGCACACTTGAGGGTAGAACTTAGCACACTGCCACTTCAAGACGTACTGCAATTTAGTAAGTTACAATACCTGCAACATTTATACATAAGTTGTTTGCTTGGTCACTAAAATGAATTTATGTAGATCAGCTTTCTTATTGTACTAATCAGAGCTATTTGATCGGTGTATTAGACTATCTACTTCGTGTAAGTGATCCGTATTTTAAGTCACCGTGGACACAAAAACATAAAAAGGAAGATAAACTAGTATATATTTATTTGAATTTGTTTCGCTTTGATGATAAAACTTGTGTCTAATAAATATATTGGCTAATAAGTCATTTTTATTCTGTTTAGGTAATGAATCTGACAGTCAAAATGAAACCATTTTGAGAAAATGTGGTATTAATTATATACTGAATGTAACACTGACAACGCCATTTCTTGATGAAAGACGTTTTAAATGTCATCGCCTTCCTGCAACAGATTCACATTCACAGGATCTACGACCGTATTTTAATACGGCATTTCAAATTATTGGTATGTTTATCTCGGTTGCTTTTATGCATTTTGCAACTAGTTGTGTATTTTGTTTACATCTACTAAACTCTAGTCATCTGAAAGTATTTTAACTCACTACTAATAGTTATTTGTGTTTTAATCATTGTCGTTTGGTATTGTTTATGTGGTGATATTGCACAGTTTTCGCATTAAATATCAGAAAAATAGGTTATACGCTAACATATAATTTAACCTTGGTTTCTAATAGAAACAGTGAATAATCAAATCTCACCGTGTCGTCTGTACTACAACACACGTGATATCATGACTAAAAGCATGAAAAGCTATACGTTATGTATTCCTAACTAGTGAAAATTATTTTTAACCACTTATATTGATCAATACCTTACACTGGCTGGTTTCGCATGGACTAAACTTCGTGGGGTAAATAATATTTTGAAGTTGTACATATATCTTCAAAGCTGCCGCGTAGTTTCTAAATACAGTATTGGATATAAGCACCGATGTGATTCGTTATAGCTGCTCATATTGATTTTTAACATTTTTCATTGTAATCCTGATTGAAATAAAGTCAAGTTGCAGAAGGAATCATACTGTCATGGTCAACATATGGTAGACAAATATGAAGGGCCAAAACAACTACTAGTTATGTCTATAAATTTGATATGCAACAGAGAAAAGTCATATGGACTCAGTTGGAACCTATCTGGGACATTTTTATCAAATATCTGTATGTATTAAGGGATGGTCAATATTTTCATAAATGAATCACGCTGAATTCCAATCTTCTCTGTGGAGGAAATTTTATGTGTAGTACTATGACAACAAATCACCCTCTTACGAATGATTTTCCTGATTGCAGTAGATTGGATAATGCGACAGACAACGGGCGATGAGGAAACAGGCATAAAATGGACTCACATAAAAAAACTTGGAGGATCTGGACTTCGCCGATGATATATGTCTGATTTCCCACAAACTGAAAGATATGCAAGTGAAAAGCAACAAGTTGGCAGAAGAAGCATCAAAGATAGGACTTCAAGTGAACATAGATAAAACAGAGGTGATGAAGATTCCTGGCCAACAGCAGCAACAACAACAACGACAGACAAGAGTCAGCATAAATGGGAGGAACCTGAAAGAAACAACATCCTTTACCTACCTGGGAAGCATCGTTTCAACTATAGGCAGAGGGAACTGACGAGAATATCAAAGCCAGAATCGGAAAAGCAAGATAAGCTTTCACTACTCTTAAGTCTGTGTGGATGTCAACAGCCGGATTTTCAACTCCAATGTGAAGTCAGTCAGTGCTACTATACGGATCAGAGACTTGCACTGCGCGTCATAAATAACATCTCAAACAAACTACAGACCTTCATCAATAGTTGTCTTCGCTCAGTACTCAAGATCAGATGGCCGGCCAGAAAAGATCACCAACAGGGAGGGATCTCTGGCAATGAGCGAACCAACCAGGAACCGATTGTGCAACAAATAGGCAGGAAGAAATGGAGATGGATTGGATTGGTCACACTCTGAGGAAACCATCAAGTGACATCACTAGACAAGTCCTCGAGTGGAACCCGAAAGGGAAGCGGTGAGTTGATCGTCAGTGCAAGGGTGACCTGGAGGAGGTCATGTGAAGAGGAGATGAAAGCGTGTGGTCAGACCTGGAGCGGGGTGAAAACGTTGGCAGAAAACCGAACGCAATGGAGACGCGCAGCTGAAGCCCTATGTTCATCTAGGAATTAAAGGATATAATAATATAATAATAATCTTTAACCCCTGCCACAGTTACAGTTTGATTACTCATTACATTTTTGAAATGTCTTAACAACAATAACCCTAACTTATTTTTATTCCTATCGAACAAACTTAATGTACACAGACACACATTCAAAAATAAGTATATATATAATTGCAATTGTACAGCTAAGTGAATGAATTCGCCGAAAAGAATCTCTTCGCTGAATTACATGTTTTGTTGTTTTCATTAATGTCTGGATGGGGATTATTTATGAATTAGTTAAAAGTAGTCTGAAGACGAGGCGTCTACACATAAATAGACTGATGACGCTTAATGTGCATAAAATCGGGATGAAATGTGGTCAGTTGTCTGTATAACAGTTAAAAATTAAGCGGAGGCTTCTCAAACATAGCACTGTTGTCAATATTTGATTGGCCAATCTGAAGCATTTTTGTTTTTGTTTAAACGAAATTCTCCAATAGGTGACTCATACAGGATGATTCATAGTTCTAGCAAATGAAAAAAGACAATGCTACGTTTCCGTTAAAAACAGTTTTATTCAGTTTTAGAAATCATCTATCTGTTTTTGTTTTGAGAAAAATAAATAGGTTCGCGTTCTAGACAATGATTCATTCCTGCAGAAACAGAATTTTGATGCTTCAAAAATGGAGATGTTTTGGAGATGAATAATGCTTTAACAAGCCCGATTTGTTGCTAGGTCATACGAACGCATGGTCATAATGATGTTCATGAGACGATATTAGGCATTTTTCGTAGATTATTCAAATACACAGACATTAAGTTTGTCTGAACTCCAGCTCAAATATAACAATATGTATTTGAAAGGTTTTTTAACATACTTCATACCTCCAACTTGTCCGCTTAGGTTCAGAACTTTACTCCGTTTTCAGCCATAGTCATCTCAATAGCTTAAGGCATATTAGATACTATGAACCTATGAGTATTGTGATTCTGATGTGACTTTATTCTATTTGGTTGACTTGATGATCAGATTGGTATAATCAGCCTAAAGACTGATAACAGCAAAATACTGAAATCATGAGGATTCAATCAATTACTAACAAGTTAGTTGTTATATGCTTAATCATGTGACAATAATTCAAATAGTTTATCTAAATGATCTACTTTTGCCAGTATTTTTATGGGAGGTTGAAGACCAGCCATGTCAACCACTGTGACGGGTGATACTGACAAGGATTTGTATGTAGTATACTGGCGATGTCTTCTGCAAGAATCCTGAATAATGTAGAAGCAGATAAAGATTTGAAAAGGAAAATTAAAGATCCATGTCAAGCAGTGTAGAAAGCATGAAATGAAGACAAGAGATGTATAATAACAACATAAATATTCGGCTACCAAATACCACCATGTTATGCTGTTACACCAGAAGGGTTGTATACCATATCGAAGGGGAATACATGTCCCACTCATTTAGAGTCGGGCTCATCTGCGGTGCATTACGACTGACAAAACTCCAAAAACCGTGTTTTGAAACCTTTGGGATAATGACCAGCGAAATAGTAACGCTTAGAATGCAGTCAGTGTTTTGCGAAATACAAAAGTTCAAATTAGTGTCAAGTGGTTCAAAGTTGTCACTTTTTGCCCATTCTATTGCATGAACATTTCTATTTTGTAAGATAAAAACAGCCGACATTTCCTAAGAATATTTCTGTCTGAGATACTTGACTAATTTATCATTATCAGAGTGATTTTATGCTTTTGAAGTAGTGTTAAAACATTTGAATACAAAACGTTTAGCAGTCAACTGTCTTATTTGAGGAAAATGACAAAACGAAAGCTGAAGAGTCCCAAACTAGGACGAAACAGCTGTCCAGTACTCCCAGCTGGTTTTCAATGGTTCTCTAACTAATGTCAGCTCATGACTAAATCCTGTAACCGATCAAATCTCTACAAACCAACACTTGAAAATGGAATATACCATCTCTGATTTTGCAGCGAATAATCGATAAAAAGTTATCTGTTAGATATTCTTGGGTAATTCCGTTCGGTGTTCAACAAAATTAATATCAGGCGATTGTAGATAATCGGTAGCAATCTGTGGACCTAGGTTTTGTGCATACTGGGATTATGCAACTTCTAAGAAACTGACGCCTATAAGGGATTTCAGCCTGTATGTCAAAAATGTTGTCAACAAGTTATTCGCCTAATTCCTAAAGCAAGCACTCCTTTAGAAGCACACCTTATGTTGAATTTCATATTATCGCTATATGAAAAGAATCATGTATATTATTCAGCTCTTCTTATTTTCCTCCTTTTTTTTTCTTTGTACAGAAGAAGTTCGTCGTTCAGGTAAAAGTGTACTTGTACACTGTCAAGCTGGTGTCTCTAGATCTCCAGCATTAATTATTGCCTATTTAATGGCGTATTCAAGTATGTCTTTACTAGATGCCTATCAATTTGTCAAAACAAGACGTTCAGTGATTGCACCGAATTTTGCTTTCATGGGACAATTGTTTGAATTTGAATCTGACTTAACATCTGGACGTTTCTTAAGACAGTCAAATATATTAGATCCTTTATTATAAAAGTTATGTAATTAGCATAACCAAAGTGATATATTTATGTATATGTATATTCAGTTTGTTGGTCACATCTTTTTTTGTTTTGCAACCTTTTCTTTGCTGTTATCTCTGACCTTTCAACCACTTACATCTTTTGTATCATATTGAACAATCTAAAAGTATAGTTTTTTTTGTTTATTTAAATGTATATTGTAAATATCAACCTATCTGCGCGAACAATAAGAGTCAGGAAGACAATATTATGCATGTTTATTCAAATAAAATAAAGAAAATGAAATATGTGTAAGCATCCTCTTACTAAGAATACTAGTCTGTTATGCCAAATGGGATATGTATAATGTTCTTTATTTACACTGTTATTATGTTTACTCTCCTTTTACTCTCATTTTGTATTCAGATCTCTATTTGGTTTTCTAAAAATATAGAAAACTTAAAGTGTGTTTTGCTCTTTTCTAATTTTCAAACATTTTACAATTTACTTGTCTATCTTTCTTTTTTTTCCCGCTCGTTTTACACAAACATATTAAGGAAGATTTTGTAAGATATAACTCAATTATCTATGTTCTCAATATCTTCCATCAGTAGCAAAAGATACTGTAAGGAATGTCAGAATAGGCGGCAGAAGAACACTACTGAATCTTTGGCAATGACAGAGAGTGAATATTGTCCCTTGACTTGGTTTTTGTTGTAATATCAGGGTCAATTTTGAATCAGTCACATTAACACACACACACAGTTTTGACCAACAGCCAGTCGTACCTCTCGACTTAAATAAATATAATTCTGGCTAAATCTAATCCTACTCCACTTAACATTATTCATGATAAACAGTTGTTGGGTTTGCACAACATATTCTTAATGTATACTCCTAGCTTACCATGCTTTTTCAGTGAAACACTGTTTATTACCGAATACCATACGGATTTTCAATAAAAACGTGAAGTCAGCCAGTTCTTCTATACGGATCAGAAACTTGGCGGGTGGGTCACAAAGAATATTTCCAACGGCCTGTTGCAGACCTTCATCAACAACTGTCTTCGCTCTATGCTGAAGATCAGATGGCCGGGCAGGAAAGAATCACCAACAAGAAACTATGGCTGGGAACAAACAAAACAAGAACCAATCGCCAACCAACAAATATGCAGGAGAAAGTGGAGATGGATTGGACACTCGCTCGCTGAGGAGGCCGCGTGCGCGTCAGGCCATCTCTCGAGTGTAACCCGAAAGGGAAGCGGCGAATGGGACATCGGTGTAAGGGTGACATGGAGGAGATCGTGTGAAGAGGAGTTGAAAGAGTATGGGTTAACATGGATGCAGGTGAAAAGTACAACAGAAGACAGAAGCAAGTGGAGAAGTGGAGTTGAAGCCCTATGTTCCACTAGTAACCCAAGGGAGCAATAATAATAATACGCTTATTGTCTACAGTACCCTGCAAAGCAGTCTTACTGTATATATGCAGTGCAAAAAACACGACTGTGATCAGTATCATAGTAGGATTCACCTCAATGCTGTCCCAAGTGAACATGTAATCCCTCACCACTAAATGACGAAAGCTGGCAAAAACTAGAATAGGCAACTGACTTTTCTGGTTTGAAAGTAATCAGTGTGTTTCCTCTTGTACATTGCCTATGACTAAGTCAGGAATGAATTCATACTATTCTTTTCGAGAATCATTTTCAACTTGCCAGGTATCACGTACATGTGTATCATGCTCAGTCATGAAATATGCTGTATTTTAAAGTCAATTTCAACTAGGACTATATTTTTCGAATACATCAAAGTGCTTAAAAGCTTAACAGGGTTGGGAATTCAATTCCTGAGACTTTGAAAGCAATAAAAATTTCAAGCATCCATATATCAATAAAGAAGTGAATTAGAATAATAGTAGCGGCCTCTATTTAGATGACAAAGTTTTGTAGATCCTTATATGTTTTAGGTGAATAAGTACCGTATAAATTTTCACGATGACTTGACATTTATGTTAAAATACTTATACTTTTTATAGAGATGGAATTGTAGAATTCAATATACCTGAAATATTTCAATTCTGGTACTTCTGTAGAAATGTTGGCGGGAATTCATCTTAAAAACGGTATAAAATACCAAAAAATGGTAGCACAAAATTCCAGACACTTCAGCCTAGAAATATATATCCCCGGTATTGACCTATTTGGCTAAAAGAAAGTTTAAAGAAGTTCAGCAAGTATCATGTGCCAGCAAATACCTGAATACCTCTATTCAAACTCGGAAATACTCCGTAAGCCGAAACCATCTGTTCTTTAAGTAGCAATCAAACGTCACATAGGAATTTCAGAAAATACTGAAATCACCTTAGTTCCTTCGTGGTTAATACACCGATATTCACTAGGTAAATAGTGTAATGTTCACTCGCGCCTTTGGCTGTTTTCGTGTACGTTATCATCCTCTATCATATTAGCTTTTCGAGCATTTAACCTCTTATCTATAACAATCAAAGTCAACATGCAAAAAAATCACCTTCATCCTAGAACTAGTGTAACAGCCGAAAACGGTAGTATTTGGTAACGAAAATGTTTATTGGCGAATCAGTGTATAGACATTGAGTCGGTGGCATAGCGGTTAGGACGCTCACCGACCATCCACATGATCTGGAGTTCGATCCCCGGCCACGGACGCACTCTTTTACTTCGCTGAGCCAGAAATAATACTGGTAAAGAGGAAAGGTTGGGCATGAGGCTAGCAACCCCATCCTGTGAATTAAACACTGTTACAAAACTTCAAGCCACTAGCTTGAAGCCCTGTTATGTTCCACTGGGGAACGTGAAAGAAAAAAATGTACAGACATAGCCAAATACAGATAATGTACATTGGAATCTCCATTTTCACGTGTTCTTCAGGCTGTCCTTCATTTGCCTTTCTTTCATGTTTTCTCTGTTTTGTCAGAAGGCTCTTTCATTTCTTCTCTTTGTCATTTTTAATCTATCTCTCCGACATTCAATATTCTTGCAGAAGACATGACAAAAATCATATTTTTTTCCTTCACGTTCCACAGTGGAACATAACGGGGCTTGAAGCTAGTGGCTTGAAGTTTCTGTAGCAGTGTTTATTTTGCAGGATGGGGTTGCTAGCCTCATGCCCAACCTTTCCTCTCTACCAGCTTTTATTTCTGGCTTAGCGAGGTAAAGGAGTGCGTCGGTGACCGGGGATCGAACCCCAGACCATGTGCATGGTTGGCGAGCGTACTAACCGCTGTGCCACCGACACACACACAAATTACATACCGCTTACAAACTCTTATCAGTAACAACTATGACACTAGCACTGAATTACCAATGTTGCATTAGAGTACCGAATCCCCAAAGTAGTCAGTCCCAAACTGTTTGAAATTATGTTTATCTCAACGGATAACTTTTATGGGGAATTATGTAATCCCGTAAGTATGAGGGTTTTTGTTTTTGCGCTGACTAACAAAAACTATTACACAAATTATTTTTTATTTTACAATAGTAGTCATTCATTGACGTCATAAATTATTGACTTTAAAAAAATGTAAATATTTTTCCTACTAAAAATAGAAATTTTGACTTAATTTATGAATTTCATTGCCGTGTGTAGGATTATGGCTGTTTAAAGCGAAGTGAAACTATTAAATCAACTAAATCCAAGGTGAATACAAGCTTACACAATACATTTATCCACTTTCAGATGTACTTTAAAAAAATTGGCAATTTTAAACTTAGCAACCAATTAATGTAGTTGAATAAATACTTTTACAGGATAACAGAGTATGCACACTAAAAAGTACCAAAAATAGTATTATTTAATGATAAATTATGTTTACTCTTAACTTACTTTTAAGTTTCTTAATCTTGGAGTGTCAGGTTTTGTTTTAAATTATGCAACAGTAATTACTATCGATTTATTTATCCATTTAGATCTTATTTGATTGTTGATGTTTCCTTATTTGGCTGCAGACTACTATCTCTTGTGGTCACCTACTAATTTAGTGGACTTGAGAGATAATAATGAAACCGGTGAAAGTGTGTATAGCAATAACACAGTTTTTCATTTGTCTCTGTCTGTCTTGTTGATTATGTGCGTAGGTAGGGGTTTATTAATTGTCGTAATAAAGGACCCTAGACTTAAGTTTTACCATACTGTAATTGATAAAATAAAACAGTTTAAGGACTTTTAAGCAATCAATTTAGTCATTTTAACAAAATTCATAAAAGCTAAAATCAAGTAAAATGAAAATGAGGATTTCATATCAATCATTTCTATAGTCTGCAGTTACTTGTCTGGTGATGGCTAGCAATTGAGTCTAGGACGTAGGTTTCGCCTTATTCACAACTCATTAGTCTGATTTTCTTGCTCTCCATTAAGTGATGATATTACCACGGAAACTCATACTCAGTATCCATTGCTTGAAACTGCAGAGTGTGCGTCGGTGGCACAGTGGTTAGGACTCTCGCCGACCATGTACATGGTCCGGGGTTCGAGCCCACGCCGGCGCACACCTGATATCTATGGTTGGCCTGCAAAATTTGGGCTACCGATATCCATGCTGAAAATTCCATACTTGTACCAAAAATACAGTGTGGAATCAAGCTGTAAATCAAAAAAAAAATCAAAAAAAAAAAATCCACTAGGCTACTGGGAAACAAGAGCCACCACTAGTACTACGGATATGATTTGAAATTATGTATTCATACTTAATATCTCCCATCAGCATATCTGTATTAAACTGACCAGCCTCTCTTTGGTATGTTGATTCCCTGAATAGGTGCTTCGGTATAACCATGAATAATAACTTGCCTTTACTTGTTCGATAATTCAGTAGCCTGGTGGATTACGCTTTGGCGTTTAGAGTGATAAGTATAGGATTCAGGTTATTCGTGGGAACACCATCATCTACTAGTTGTTAGGCACATACAGATGATGTGTGCCAGTGGAATGAAATCACTCTGGATTCTACTACTAGACACATTCACACGAGGATGTTTGATTTAGTAATCATGACATGA